ATATTTGAAGCCCCCCCATATATAGGGAAATAGTCTGATTTAAAAAAAAAGTATATCCAATGAAAGATGTATATAAATACTACTTCTCATGAAAAAATTGTATTGTTACATACATTTTTTAAAAAGTTATAGCACTTTAAAGTAAAAAATGTAAATTATAAAATCGAAAATTTTCACACAAAAATAGCATTCGGTAGCCGTTTTTACCATGAAGACAAGTCCAGAGGTCAAATTTTTTTTTTTCAAATTAAAGTACATTACACTAGCTTTAATTTAAGATATATATAAAAGTGTCAGACCTTCCGGAACATTTTCAAAAGTTAAGTTGAAAAAGTTACTATTTTAAATCCCCCCCTGTTAGCAGGTTAAGTGTTAAATTTACAAAAAAAATAAACCAAATGATAGGTAAAGACATCAAACATCTATTAAAAAAAAAATTATATTGATATGTTCATTTTTGAAAAAGTTACGGCAGTTTTTAGTAAAAAAAATTGAAAAAATTTCGAAAATTAGCGATTTTTAAATTTGTAATTTTTTTGGAGGTTTCCCNTTTGGAGGTTTCCCTCATTTACAGGGGACGAAGGAATTTTTTTCAAATTTTGAGGGTAATGTCTTCGACTAGATACGATTTGTGATCTTTTGACGTATCGTTGAAAGAAATCGGTTTGGTGAGAGCTGAGAAAAAGTGGTAACAGACACAAAAAAAAAAAACATCATAGTAAAACCAATACCTTCTCAGCTTCGCATCGAAGCTAAAATATTTGTATATTGCTTTACTTTTAACCGGTATAAAAATTTTAAGAGCTTGACGCAATACTCTTTAATAAAAAATGTTTGTTTTTTATAATAAATTTATAAGTTTTATACACTGGATTACAAGGATCTTTCATCAAAAACCAAAATGTACTTTTCTAAATCAACTTTTCTCGATGTTTTCAAATATGTAATTAAACTTTTTCTATCACTTATAAGTTATAATATTATTACTTATTATTAAAAAATAACTATTTACAAATAAAAAAAAAATAATTAAAAAAAAAAATTGTTTTAAATTAATTCTGATTTTGATTATTAATATGTTAAAAATAAGGAAAATGACATATTTAACCTATTTTGTTAATCCTTTTTAAGTTGATTTTTGTGAAAGTTTATAATAAAAAGAAATTAATTTATTACCATAACTTTTAGCTGAATTTGCAAGTTTTGACATCATTAAATTAAAAAATTTATGAGAATTAAAAAAGTTGTATTGTTAAGATTAATATGCATTCAAGAAATTTTATAATTATATATAAGAAAAATTTAAAGAAGTTTATCTTTAATGCTATATCAATTTGATTTATATAATATTTATGAAAATCAGTGTACACTCCTTGTCAGGTATTTTAAATCAAAATAAAAACCTAGAATTTTAATACAAAAATAGCATATTTTTGAATACAGTAGTCATTTACACCACGAAGACAAGTCCAGAGGTAAAATTATTTTTTTTTAAATTAAAGTATATTACATAAGCTTTAATTTAAGGTATATATAAAAGTGTCAGTCTTTTCGGAACACTTTCAAAAGACAAGTTGAAAAAGTTAATTTCTTGTAAAAAAGTTACCATTTTGAAACCATTCCTGTGGGCTGGTAATGGGTCAAGTGATCGCAAAAATATATAAAATGATAGGTAAATACCTAAGTTATCTATAAAAAAAAATAATCATTCGGTTACTTTTAAAAAAGTTATGGCAATTTTAAGTAAAAAAAACTGAAAAAATGTCGAAAATTAGCGATTTTTAAATTTATAATTTTTTGGGAGGTTTCCCCCGTTTACGGGGAACGAAGGAATTTTTTTCAAATTTTGAGGGTAATGTCTTCGACTAGATATGATTTGTGATCTTTTGACATATTTTTCATCAAAATCGGTCCAGCGAGAACTGATATTGAGTGTTCACAGACACAAAAAAAAAAAAACACATCATAGTAAAATTAATACCTTCTCAGCTTCGCATCGAAGCTAAAAAACAGTAGTACAATAAGGTTTAAATGAAACAGTTAAAATGATATAAAATGATAAAATCTTTATCATATGTAATGCTCCAATGAAAATCTGTAGTTAGTGTTTAATTTTAAGAAATTGGTGGATTACTTAAAAGTAAATTTCTAACTCAATAAGAATTAAGGCAATAAGAATTATTTTCTCAGGCAATGATTTTTACTGAATCGGGAAATGTTCGTCGCATTCGTTGTTTGATAAATTTGGCAATTTAAGCTGATTCAAATGTTAAAATTACTTTTTAAATTTTCAAAAAATATATATAAAATAAAATATAAATATCTAAGGGTTCAATTTAAAACTGAATTATTTTAATATATTCATTTTTCAAAAAAATATAGAAGTTGTAAGTATTAAAATATTTCATGTTACACAGTGATTTTAATATAAAATTTACATTTTTTGTTAATTTCAACGGCTACTTTTTCATAGAAATAAATGTGTGAGGAAAAATTTTTTTATTGAAATTATAGTATTTATTGTAAGTTTTATTTTGATATGTATTTAAAGCTCGGGATATTTCTGGAACATTTTCAAAAGTTAAGTTGAAAAAGTTCTACTTTTACTCGTATTTTAAAAAATTTAAACCTTTCCTGTATAAAGGAAAATGGTCCAATTAAAAAAAAATGTGTGTTGGGTGAAAGGTATATAAATTTAAATCGTAAATTTTAACACCAAAATTGTATATTTTTTAATTACGGCAAAAATTAAATTTTTGTGCAGAAATATCTATAAAAATATCTAAGGTTTCAATATAAAAAAAAATTATTTAGATTTGTTCAAGTGCTAAAACTTTTTGTAAAATATATAGATCTTTAAAATTTTTTTTTCAAAAATATTTTATAATATGTTAACTTTTTTTATTTGAATAATTTTATCTTTAAATCGTACCTTTTTCCTTAAAACAGAAGAGGCTTAAATCTTTTAAAATATGAGTAAAGAGTAGAGCTTTTTAACTTTTTGAAAATGTTCTGAAAATACTCCGGGTTTTTAATATATATGAAATTAAAGCTTATAATAAATACTATAAGTTCAAAAAAAAAAAGGTTTGAATTATCTTCTTGATTTTTTTTTTAGTAAACTATATTAATTTTTTTTCATTAAAATATAACTTCAATGAATATTAAGGATCTCATCACTGTGAAAATCCCCTAGTTGGAAGAATTTTTTTATTCATATTTAAATTATTTTATATTGTGGTTTTTTGGGGGTTGTCGTTTATTTTCTTAGCTCTCAAATGACCTCCTTTTTCAACGATATGTCAAATGATTGAAATTTGTATTTGGTTGAAGATATTACCCTCAAAAAATTTAAAAAAAATTCCACTTTATCAATTAAAAAGTTACTTAGCCCACATTCTCCATATAGACAATTAAAATCATTCATTTCTAATATTTTGAAAGTATTAATTGACGAATCAAGTTTGATATGATAGGTTTCAACTAAAAAATTAAATAATTTTACTTTGTAGTTTATTAACTATTTGTGTGTGTTACTACTAGTCGTTAATATTTCAATTTTTTTGGTAACATTTGGTATAAAAATAATTTCCAAAAAAATTAATGTTTGGTTTTACCTGAAATTATATTTAAATTATACGTGTATTTTTATAATAATAAATTAAAAAGGATTTTTAAGATACAAAAATTATACAATTTTTAATATTAGTTAGTATATTATAGAGTTATATTATTATTTTATATTTCAGAAATTTGCTTTTATCATTCAACTTGCTTATATCTAAATACACTAAATATTTAAATAATCCATATAATCCTCAATAAATGGATTAAGTTTTTGTAAAAGATGGCTTTCCTAAAACTTAAATCTTTATAAAATTAGTTTTACCAACACAATTTTCTGGTAAAAATGTATTATTTCTTATATTTTAAGGTAAGGAGTTTTCAGCATATATAATTTATGTAAGTCACATATTAATTTAATTTTAAGTAAAGTAATTAAACTTCGCTGAAATAATGCTTCAAGTATTTTCTTAATTTTGATAAAAGAGGTTAATAATAATATAAAACTTTCGATTTCTTTATCATCTACTGATTATACTCTAGCATCTACTGTACATAAATTTAGCATTTTAGAAAAATAATATCACTGTTTTAAAATATTTTATTATGCAGAAATGTTATTAAAGGTGTCAAGTATTATTGTTTATTATTTTTATTTATTCTTAGTTTATAATTTTAATAAAATGCAATGACACGTGGGTAGGTGAAACATTTTTAAAATGTACACCATTATACATATCCATTACTATGAAATAAGTATATAAGTAATCCATCTAATTCTCAATAAGTTTAATAATATTCTCGTCTAAACTTTTAGAGTGACAGTCAACTTTACTGAAACCCAAATCATCATAATATGATTTGTAAGCATTTTCACAAAAATTATCAAAATAATTACACTCACTAAAGAAAATTTGTATTGACCATAATATTTTGAATTGTTGATCAAAAAAAGTTCCTTTATAAAACAACATACTTCATTGTAACTTAAATCACCTCTAACATCTTATCTTATATAAAATTTATTACAAAACTTCAAAAAAGTGTTAAGTAGTTTTCCAAACTTAAACCTGAAGATACATATTATTGATTATAATAGTAGTTGAATACCTAAAATTATTTTTTTTAGAATTTCTTATAATTTTTTTTGTTTTTTTAAATAACGGAGTTTTATGTATCACTGCATAACTCATTATATAAATGTATAAAAACATGTTACGAAACATAAACAAATATTGAAAAAGTACTTTTTTAACTAGTACCATGGTTTTAATAGTTATATTTTGATACTTTAACACAATTTTTCATTAAAAATTATATAAAATAATTTATCTTACAATATTTTTATTTTATCTAAAAATTAATAATGGTAATAATAAAAAATACATTTCAACTCATTTAAATATAATTAATATTAAATTGTAGTAAGTGTAATGATGTAGACTGCAAATTAAAAAAAAAAAAAATTATTATTTTCAAATACTATGTTTGAAATCAAATAATAATTTTATGAAACATACATTTTAAATTTAACTGTTGATACACATGAAGGCTAAGTAAATAAATAATTCATCATATCCATATTAAATTTAATAATTCTATCCTCTTAACTGCTGTCATAACAACTAACTTTTTGAAAACCCAAATCTTCATAAAACAATTTGTAAACATTTTCACAAAATTCGTCAAAAAAATTACACCCATTAAGATAAATATGAGTTGACTGAAGTAAATCCGTACTATTTAATGTGTTTACTGATTTTTTGAATTCATTTATTATATTGAATTTTTCATAAAAATGTTCTTTCATAACACAAGCATTATTCATTTTTGATAAATCGTTAATTACGTTTATATAGAAGGTATTCCGAAAATTTAGAAACATGTTCAGTAGTATTTCAATATTCTCGGTTTTTTTCTCATCCTCCTGATTATGAGAAAAATCATTGTTCTTTAATACGCAAAGAGAAGCTTCAACCCATGTTAATGTTTTATGTAAACTCGAATGAGAGCTAAAATTAAAATTCCATATTGCTGATTTCTTTAAAGTAATTAAAGCTGTTTTCAGTCCTTCAAGCATTTTTTTGGATTTATTGAATGAGTTAAATAATTTAATTAGACACTTGTGTTTGAAAATATTTCCTTCAGTTTTGCATATATGCAATATAGCAGATAATAGTACGTAGTAGTTTTTAATTATTTCTGTATACCTACATCTTAGTAATTGTAAAAAATGCTCTTTTTTTATTTGAAAATTCACGTCATTAATTTCGTCTTTTATTACACATTCTACGTTGAGTTGTTTACCATTGTAAATTATATATATGTGATTCATTTTTTTCCAACCAGTTTCTTGACGAAGAATATTGAGAATTTTCATTCCATCATTTTGAATTAGTGTTGCATCTATTGGAGGCATGAATCTGTATTACACAAAAATATTTTGATTATTACTTAAATGTATAGATAATATAATATACAATATTATTAATGAGATATTTTTTTACTGTCATTCAATTTAATCTTGTAAACATTTATAAAAATATAGTATTTTTATTAAAATATTAAATATATATATATTGAGTAATAAAATTAGTATCTATCTATTTTATTATTTTATAGTATATTTTTTATAATTTTTTATGGGCTTATTAAAAATTTTAAAAATCGAAATGGATAAGTTTTATTACACACGAGGCTAAGTAGATATAAATAAGAACACACATAAAAAAAAACCCAGCACAGGGGGGTCGCGGCACAGTGGTGACGTGGCATAGTTGGATCAAGTATAATGATATCTGACAGTGATTAAAATCACTATAAAAAAAAAAGCTTCGATGCAAATCTTTAGATAGCGTTTAATTTTAAAAAATTGATGTATTATTCCAAAAGCTACATGATCTGCTAGTTCCTTATTAATATCCCGATTAAGATATAGTATGTCAAATGAAAAAGAGATTATTAAAAAATATTATTTCCCATGAAAAAATTGTATTGATCCATACATTTTTTAAAAAGTTATAGCACTTTAAAGTAAAAAATGTAAATTATAAAATCGAAAATTTTCACACAAAAATAGCATTCGGTAGCCGTTTTCACCATGAAGACAAGTNCAAAAATAGCATTTGGTAGCCATTTTCACCCTGAAGATAAAATAAAGTCCGAAATTTTTTTTTTGCATAATAAAGAACATTACATTAGCTTTAATTTAAGATATATATAAAAGTGTCAGACCTTCCGGAACATTTTCAAAAGTTANATATAAAAGTGTCAGACCTTCCGGATCATTTTCAAAAGTTACGTTGAAAAAGTTAATTTTTTTTTAAAAAGTTGTCATTTTAAATCCCCCCCTGTGGGCAGATAAAGAGTCAAATTTATAAAAAAAAATATACCAAATAATAGGTAAAGACATCAAGCATCTATAAAATAAAAATTATATTGATATGTTCATTTTTGAAAGAGTTACGGCACATTTTAGTAAAAAAAATTTCGAAAATTAGCGATTTTTAAATTTGTAACTTTTTTGGAGGTTTCCCTCATTTACAGGGAACGAGGGAATTTTTTTTAATTTTTAAGGGTAATGTCTTCGACTAGATACGATTTGTGATCTTTTGACGTATCGTTGAAAGAAATCGGTTCGGTGAGAGCTGAGAAAAAGTGGTAACAGACACAAAAAAAAANAAGAAATCGGTTCGGTGAGAGCTGAGAAAAAGTGGTAACAGACACAATCAAAAAAAAAAAACACATCATAGTAAAACCAATACCTTCTCAGCTTCGCATCGAAGCTAAAAAATAATATTATATAAAAGGAAAATATCTAGGGTTTTAGTATAAAAAAAAATTATGTTGATTTGTGGTTTTTTGAAAAAGTTATGGAAGTTTTAAGAAAAAAAAGTGAAAAAATGACAAAATTTACTGATTTTTAAATTTGTAATTTTTTAGAAATTTACCCCATTTAAGGGAAACGAAGAAATTATTCAATTTTAAAGGGAATAGTCTTCAAAAAGATACGGATTGTGACCTTTTGACATATTGTTCATAAAAATCGGTCCAGTGAGAGCTGAGAATAAGTGGCAACAGACACACACAAAAAAAAACATCATGGTAAATTAATACCTTCACAGCTTCGCACGAAGCTAAAATTAATATAAAATAAAATTTTAAATGTAGTCATACTTACTCAAGTGTATTAGGGTTGAGAAATTCTTCAAAGCCAAGATTTTTGTACCAAATTTCTATGGTTTCGTTGTAAAATGAATTAAGTTTACTACATGTTAAATACACTAAGTATGAGTCGTTTCCGTTAGAGCATTCCTTAAGTTGAAATGTTAAGTCAGTTTTTATAGAAGTGTCGATGATATTATTATTTTGAAATAGATTGTTTACTTTTTCTAATGCTTCTGTATAAAATTCATTTAAATTCTTAAAATTCGTTTCACAATCATTCAGATTTGGTAAGCTGTTAAGATCTAAAGAGCTGGTTTCTGATTTTCTGTGTATGATATATTGTTGAAAAAAGTCTATTTCATCAATTATAACATTTGGTACAATAGATTGAAACACAAATCTTACATCTATGTAGCTTATAAACTTCATAGCATTGTAGAGATTTTCAAACATAGTCTTAGAATTTTTCACTTCTTCTGCGAGTGATGTTACACAACAAATAAAATTTTCTAATAAATTTCTAGCATGAAATTGATGACATTCATCAATAATAATATACATGTAATCGAGAAATTTTTTTAGTATTTCAGTGTACTTGAAATTGAGTAAACTAATTGTAATAGAATATTTACTTTTAAAATTTTGCATAAACTCGTCTTGTTTGAAAGCTTCCTCTATATCAACATTATAATTTGAATCTCGTTTCATTTTCAGATTTTGCATTTCATTTGATTTAATATGATACCGAATATAATTAACCACTGTTTTGATATAATTTTTATAATTCAAACGATATCTTAAACGTTGATCTGCTTCACTTGGTTTCAATACGAAAACGATCATAGACATTAAAATCAACGAATAATATTCCATTAAAAATAAAATTAACTCGTTGTATACTAAGGAAGATTTAAAATGAATATATTTAAATGTGTGTATTATTATTTTATATTATAGTATTGCGAGTGAAAAAATGTGTTTAAAGTATGTATATCTTTTTTATATATCTGTTAAAGAATAACATTGATTTATATTTTGTTTAATTAAATAATTTTTACGGAATACATAGATTTATTAGTATTTATTTTTTAATATATTTACGAATATCGTCTTAAAATGTTTTATTATTAACATTAGTTACTTATGAGAATATTTTGAATTGTAATATAGTAATTTATATAATGAGACCTAATAATAATCATTGAAATTAATTTAGTTTTAATATTTAACATTTTTATTTTATAAAAAAAATAGCTACAGAAAATGGTCAATTAAAATTTTTATTGATAGTAATACTCTAATGTTAATTTAGTTTATCATACTGTTTTTATCAAACGTAAATACTGTTCTGAGTTATCCGAGCACGGCAACTGTTGTATTACACGTACGTGAATAAGGCAGCAGACTTATCATATTCGTACCAACAATATTCTACAGTTACTCTCCGCAGGTTGTTTTGTGTTATGGCACTATGTATCATGTTAAGTTCGGAAAATAGAAAAATGTAAAACTAAGCACATTTAAGAACTCATTATAAATAATTTATTTGTAAACAAATAAAACATTTTCATGTAAATCTCTATTTTAGTTTAAAAGAGTACTGGGGTAAAATATAGCACCTATTTAATATTAACCTATTAAATTTTGTACATTAAAACCGAAGAAAAAAACACTCACAATTTGTCAGTAATTTATTATATCTAAACTCTCAAATATAATTAAATATATCATTGTAAAAAAATAAAATATTTTTTAATCATTATATCAATTATTTGATTAGTTTATTCAAAAATATTTTTGTAATAATTATTTGTTTGTTAACGTCATTGTAGTAAAAAAACCCAGCATAGTGGGGACGTTGCATAGTTGGGTCCAGTATAGATTTAATCTGACAGTGATTAAAATCACCATCATAAGAAATGCTTCGATGCAAATCTGTAGATATTATTTAATTCTAAGAAATTGATTACAAAAGCAACATCAACTTCTATTTCCTTAATTATACCCAGATTAGTAATTCTTTTAATTATATATTATATCATTTTTAAAATTAATCGTTTTCAAATTATTATTGATTTTGATTTTTAATATGTTAAAAGTAAAAATTTTTAACCTACTTTTTATTGTCCTTTAAAGTGAAAGATTTAATAAAAAAAAAAATAAATTTATTACCAGAACATGTAGCTCAACTTGTAAGTTTGAAATTGACATTATTAAATAGAAAAAAATGAAATTGTTTAGATTAATATGCAATCAGGTAATTTTATAATTACTTTTTACAGTACATTTATCAGAAAAGTTAGATTTTTTTACATTTTTATCGTAATAGATCACTTAAATAAAAATCATAGTAATCATTTCTAATTAACTTTTTTTACAATAAACTTTTTGGTGTTTAAAAAGATTTTACAATGAAAATATTCAGTAGTTAATTAATTTGAACGATTTAATTTAACTAAACGAACCAATAAAAAAAAAGTTGTTAAAAAGATTTACTCAATTGAGCGTATTATAATTTGATTATAATTGTAAAAATCTATCATTAAATTCAGGTGAAACTAAAAATCAGTTTTTTTTTATTTATGATTTATATAGCAACATGTTACAAAAAAATTTGGAATATTATTGACTGGTAGTAGCACACACAAATAGAGTTAAAAAATGAATAAATTACAAAGTAAAATTATTTACTTTTGTAGTTAAATACTTTTATCATATCAAATCTAATTTGGCGATAAATACTTTAAAAATATTAGAAATTAATTATTTTAATTGTTTGTATGGAAAAAGCTGGTTAAGCTACTTTTTATTTGAATAAGGAATATTTTTCCGATTTTTAAAAGTAATAACTTAAATATAATAAACTTAAATTAATCATTTGACGTATCGTTGAAAAAAGTAGGTCTAGTGAGGGTTGGCAAAATAAATCGTAGCCACAAAAAATAGTAAAATAATATTAACATGAATATAAATTTCTTCTCACGAGGGGACACTATAGTGATAGGATCCTCTATATTTATTGAAGTTATTGAATCTAAATGAGATAAATATCAAATGATTTGAAAATTTTATTCTAACTCAAAAAAAATGCAAAATATTATTTGCCACATACAGATTCGAACCTCGTACCCTAAGCGTGAAAGACACAAGTGTTACCGATTCAGCAACTGTTCGTTGCTTTCGTCGCATGATAAAATTAGCTATTTAATCTAAATCAAATTTAAAAGTTACTTTTTCGACTTTAAATAAGCAAAAAAATTTAAATAAGTTTAATTTCTTATGTCTTATGAACTTTATTCTATGGCAATTCATTTATATACTATTCATGAAAGTCAGTATATTGCCCTTATAAGATATTTTAAATAAAATAAAATATAAAACCCAGAATTTCAATATAAAAATAGCATATTTTTAAATACGATAGCCATTTGCGCATAGAAGATAGGTCGTCGAGACAAATTTTTTTTTTTTTATTTCATAGTATATAAAATAAGCTTTAATTTGATATATGTTTAAACGACGCAGTATTTCCGGAACATTTTCAAAAATCAAGTTTATAAAGTTAATTTTGTAAAAAACTTGCTATTTTAAATCCCCCCCAATGAGCAGGTTAAGTGTTAGATTTTCAAAAAAATGATATCAAATGAAAGGAAAATATCTAAGGTTTTAGTATAAAAAAAAATTATGATGATTTGTTTATTTTTGAAAAAGTTATGGAAGTTTTAAGAAAAAAAAGTGAAAAAAATTACAAAATTTACCGATTTTTAAATTTGTAATTTTTTTTAAGATATCCCTCATTTGCGTAGAACAAGGAAAAATGTTTCAATTTTTAAGGGTAATGTCTTCAACTAGATACGATTTGTGATCTTTTGACGTATTGTTGAAAGAAAATGGTCCAGTGAGAGCTGAGAAAAAGTGACAACAAACATAGAAAAAAAAAACATCATGGTAAAATTAATAACTCCTCAGCTTCGCATCGAAGCTAAAATAAAAGTTGTGTGACGAGAAATTGTGTTTTCCTCTAATAGGTGACACGGCACCGCCTTTTGCTCTAGGCTGGCGCTCACCCGTGTCTCTCTCGATATCAGCCGTCCAGCTATTAATATGACAATCGGTTGTCATCGGTCGTCTCCCCGCCCTTGACACTGAGATAAGGCCGCCGCCAAAGGATTACCGATATTGCGTTCTGTTCCGTTTTCGACGTACACCTATCTTGTGCAATTGTGCCATATTGGATTTCGCGACTATAGTGATTTAATTTGGAGTATATTATCCTGTGCGGATTCACAAATTGCATAACGCTACTCTACGAGTTTAACTATTAATCATTATATATATATATATATATATATATAATCGCGTACACCTATCTTGTGCGGTTGTACCATATTGGATTACGCATCAACTGGCTCCCCGAAGAGGAATCTCAACCGGACGAGGAAAGTTAAGGTAAGAGGCTTTGAGCCGATTAAGTTTTATTTCTAATTATATTAGATTTTAGTTTTAACTTGAAACGGTGAAGTCTCCCTTATAAATTTATTAGTTCATATAGTTATTTGAACGGATTTCACTGGTGACAGCAGTGAATTTTTACCTTGGTTATTCACAGTTACGTGTTAGCGGGATTAGATTTAGCCGGGCTCTGGGAAAATTTTCTTTTATAAAAAAAAAGTCAGAGCAGTTTATCTATTATAATCCGCCGTAGGTATTGTCGTTTTAGAGTGTTGGTTACAGTTTATTATAAAGACCTTATTGATAGCGACAAAAAGTGAATTTCCGGCCGATAGTTACAGTCTTTTGGTAGATAAAAATCGTATATTTTCGTCTGACCTTGTCAAAGCGGCCGATTCCCAGGTAACCGTTATTATTATTGTTCACTCGCTGCCATATCATACACGGCGGCCCCGGACCATTTTATCGCGGTCATTGTTACAACAATAGCAATAATAATAACACTTGTTTTCTTCAGCAATAGTAAATTTTGACCGTACACGGAGATATTGTTTATCTCCGCTATTATAGTACCATACATTTGATTATTAATTAATTAATTAATTAATATTTTAATTAATTAATTAATCAGACGACGAGTCTGATGTCGACCAACCGGGGGATATTACGCGCGCAAGCGGTCAACTAGGCGTGCCGTACGTTGCCCGCTCGATAGCGCACGCGGCAGAACAAGTCGGGGCGATCCGACAGAATATTCGCGACATTTCGAATAACGCGCGGATCGAGGCACGGATGACTGAACTAGAACGGTCGCTCTCGCGTATGTCAATGGAACAGCGACAGATTTCAAATATGCTGGAGCGACTCAGTCAAAATATGCTGCCATCCCCACACGTTGATGCACAACCGACTATTCGTCAAGTTAACGTCGAACGAAACGATAGTCGACGATCGGACGCGCATCGCGTTACATTCGGTCCATCGGGAGCGACGGACCCGACACGACACGACGCAACTTTACACGAGCGCCTCGCGGACATCGAAGCGCAGGAAGCCCGCAACATGAGACGATCGTACGGACAAGCGTCGCGCGCGTCGCTACCACGAATGTGTAGCACGGGTTGGCAAGACGAACATATTCCGCGCTCTCATACATATGAGAACGAGCCGACAGATTTTTCGTTTACGCGCCAGCCACGGGAGGGGCAATCCAACACAACCGACGGTCGTCGGTCCTTCAATGATTTGTCGCCTACCCGCAGCTCGCGGTCTGTGCTGGTACCTTACCACGACCTACGCACCGTACGCGCCTGTTTACCTGAATATTACGGGAGAAACGAAGAGGACCCACGGGAGTTTCTAGACAGAGCGGAGGATCTACTCTGTCAGGGCGGTATACACCCAACTGCGTGGGTGAACATCGTCGTCCCGTTTTTGAACGACAGGGCAGGTGATTGGTGGCGAGCTATAAAATTA